AACACTATTTCCTTTAGATTTACCAACAATTATATATTGCAAAATCCTTTCTAAACAATCATTTTAATTGATATCCAATCAGAAAGGAACTTGAACTATCTATTGGCTGGAGAACTATGGGGTTAGGGCTTTTCCCCATAGTTCTCCTAAGGGTAACGGGAGGACACAAACTAGCATCCTCCCGTCACCCTAAGCTCAGTATACCGCGAGCTACAGTGCGCGGTATACGGAGACGCCGCAGCTGAAACGGATCCCGACAATTATGTCTGGATCCGCCCAGCTGCGTGAGTGACAGCTGGCTCTGCCTATCTAGAGGCAGAGCCAGCTGTACCCGCCCCCTCCCCCGTCCGCTCCGCCAGTCGGCGCTGGAGGACCAGAGACGGGTGGGGGGAATCCAGTGCCTCCCCTATCACGGCAGAGAGCCGTGACAGGATCGAGAAGTGAGCAAACGCCGGTATGTGTTCGCTCACTTCCCGATCTACTGAGCCGACCTGTGACAGTTTCATTGTCACAGGTCGGCTAGAACTATGAGGATGAGTGAAAATCACTCACCTCATAGTTCTCCTTTAAGTGCACAAGTACTGCACAAGCAGATTGCAATGTGTGTGGCCAGCAGTTTTTGCCTGTATAGATCCCGAAGTTGGCCGAGCGGCTCAGTCGAGCAGAAGGCATATGCCTCGGCTCGGCTGAGCCGCGGTGAAAGCCGAAGCTGGCCGAGCGGCCGGCCATTGGCCAGCCGACAGCCTGCTTCTGACAGCTGGGCGGAGCCAGTCGTCAGCCAGCCGTCATCTCACGGCTGGCTCCGGCCACTTTCAGAGAGATCAGCGTCCCTGCTTACCAGGTAATCAGGGACGCTGTCATTACACACTGAGAACCCGGCCGGGCCGCTATGATATCACAGCAGCCTCTCCGTGCTCTCAGTGTGTAATGACAGATGGCGTTCCTGGTTACCTGGTAACCAAGGATGCCATCTGTCATTACTCTCCCAGACGCTCTGGGAGTCTAATACAACTCCCGGCCGCCCGGGAGTGAAACACTTTCTCCCTGAATTGTTCACTTGATCGAGCAGAGTAAACCTTTCCCTGCTCGGTTTTTATTTTTTCGTTTTTTTTCTTCTGACATCAAAGCTGTTGGCTGCCGTCAGAATAAAAAAATTTAAATAAATAAAACAACCATAGGAATGCATAGCTAGATTCCTATTGGCTATTTCAATTTGCAATAGCCAATAGCAAACTAGCTATTGCATCTGTCCACTGCTGCTGTCAATCAGCATAGAGGGACCTTCAGTTCTCCATCAGGTCCCCCTCTGGTGCTTGACAGCAGCAGAGGGCGGCTGCAATAGCTAGTTTGCTATTGGCTATTGCAAAGTGAAATCGCCAATAGGAATCTAGCTATGCATTCCTATGGTGGGTTTTTTTTTGACGTCAGCAGAATCGCCCGGCCAATAGAAAACAGTCACTGCTAGCTCCGCCCAACCGTTTTCTATTTTTTAAACTATTTTTCTATTCTGCTCAGTACCACTGAGGTACCGAGCAGAATAGCCGAGCCGAATCCTGCTCAGTGGCATTCGGCTATTTACTCACTGCTGTTCGGCATCTATGAGAATAGGCCTAACAGCAGCGAGTAGCCTGCCGGAGGTTGGATCGGCCGAGTCGAACTCCTTCTGCACTTCGGGTCGGCCGAACATGCACTTTGGGTTGGCCTACCCGAAGCCACCCGATGTAAGGCTGATTTCAGCCGATATACGGCTGAAATCAGCCGTACAGGCCTGATATGAATAGCCTAATGGCGTTCGGCTCACTTCACTCGGGTCGGTTATTCACTCGGCTGCCGTCAGCAGCTTAGTGAATAGACCCCATTGTTCAGGTAAAAACTTACTCTGGGTCACTGACGCAAATGTAGTCAGACAGTCAAATAGCATTCTGAAAGGGAAGCCAGCCACTGCTCTTATGACTGGCGTAAAATGAATTATTCTTCTAGTTTATTGAACCAAGGTTTCATCACATTTATTTTTTGAATCAGATCTTTGTTATTAGAATTTCTTTTTACAAAAAAATTGTGTCCAAACAACACACAAAAACTTCCTGTTGTGTTTTAATGTTTTAACGATGCCTGAGTACCTAAGGCCATTGTCTTATCTATAAATAATATTATTAGTGAATTGCTGTGCAATGTATAAATCTGAACTTTACAATATGATTGTAATTTCAACCACCTGAAGACCGGGGTATTAAACCTCCTTCCTACAATACAAAACAAGATCAGAAGGCTGCATAGAGACAGAGAGACAGAGCGGGCAATCAGGTAGCAGTGGAGGGGGGGCGGGGGGTTGTTTGCATTCAGTCTAGTGTGTTCCTATGGGTCTGTGCACACCTAGACGACACATCACCGCACATCAATCGTGCACGATTCTGCCCGATCAGGAGTCGCCTAGGTGTGCACCCATCGCGCTGTAGGTGTGCCATTATTTTCTGATTGCACCCCAGTTGCGCCGGGCGGATTGCGCTAAAACAGCAGCGCTTTGTTTACCTTTTTTCTGTGATTGCTGTGCGGATGTCACCCCATTGAAATCAATAGGGCCACGGCAATCGCGGCCTGCATTGTAGAAGGTATAACTACAATTGTTATGACACATTCTATACATAGGCATACCATTTCAATCAGTAATACAGGTCATTATATTATATGAATTGTGCGCTGGTATTGTTTGGCTAACCATGCTTTTATTGCGCAGAGAGCCCTGTGCTGACAAGGGGGGCGGGGGTTCTACTGTCAAAAGTCTGTAGGTAACCAACTGTCAGACATGTTAATACCTCATATCCCTTCAGGATAATATACTTTGTAGAAGGAGGTGCCAGGTCAGGAGAGGATAACCAAGCATTCCACAGTTTCTCAAATGTTTGAGGGAACGTCCTTTGTTGAAAGGTCAATTTGCCCATAGCAGGGTTGAGTTGACCTTGGATTTCAAAGATTGTATAGAGGGTAGGGTAGGAGAAAGACACATCTGTGCAATCTAAAGGAAGAAGTTTTACCCCCTTTAATATGTAGGCAGGGGCGTAACTAGAAATCACAGGGCCCCATAGCAAAATTTTGTATGGGGCCCCGCGATTGCTAGTTATGCCACTTGCAGAGCCCACCTGATATACCAAACAGCCCACTGAGAGTGACCCTGCAGAGCCCACCATAGACTTTCTATAGTGGGCTCTGCAGGGTCTCAGATGGGCTGCACACTTCTTACCTGTCAGCGCTGTCCGCCTCCGTGGTCACCGGGCCTCGCCTCTTCTTCCATCCCCGCCTCCTCTTCCATCCTCACCTCCTCTTCTATTGACTGGCCCCGTCTCCTCTTACATCACTGGCCCCACCTGCTCTTAGGTTGCTGGCCAGTGATGTAAGAGGAGGCGGGGTTGCTCTTAGGCGGGCCCCGCCTCCTCCTTCACTGCGAACGCTTGCCTCTTCTTCCGAAACGCCGCTGCTGAGCTGTGTCAGTGACAGCCAGCACCCTTACATGCCATAGCGACCTAGGCGGCCCACACAGCATCAGATGGACGCCCTGGCCGGGCCCGCCTAGGTCGCTATGGCGATTGTTACGCCACTGTATGTAGGTAACCTGTTATATATTATATTTTCAATATACATAAGTATAAGGTCAAATATTATATGCATAAAGTGAAATGCCCCAGGCAGGCTGATAGTGAGTGGGATAGACTTAGGGAAATACATTGATTTTCATCTTCAGCCCTTAGGACCCATTCACACCAAATGCAGGGCAGTCCTAATACATAGACAAGGCAACGTGTTGCAATATAGTACACCGCAAAAAAGTTTTGGGGAAAAGTTCAATACAGTTCAGGGAAATAAAGGTGAACAGTGCGATGCGCTGAAATCAGCACATTGCATCACTTCCCTAACAGTGCACACTATTGGCTATGCGATAGTGAATATTGCTGGTGTGAGCAGACCCATAGTGAAATGAAATACCTCTAGTTTTTTTTTAAAGACAACAAGCATGCTATTCATTGTTTAAAAGATCCCTTTTGATGTACAATATACTGCATATTGGCAACATCAGATGTCTCATCACTGTATTCCATTAGAACATGCTGATGTTGAATCTGTTAGATGAGCACTCGCATGTACCGAGGCTACAGTCTAATGATATTTTAGTGCCTAAAATTCACCATGACCCATAAATACTTTTGGTAAAGAGGAAAACTTTTGAAGAAATTAAGTTAATATTAGTTTTGGGTGGAGCACTTTAAGTTATTATTTTTGTAATTAGCTGGTTTCCCTCCAGCCTTTTACATCTGTTTTGATGCAGCAAAACTCAAGTAGAGATCCCATTCTTTCCAGTCCACATCTGCAGTTTAGTGTGAAAAACACAAAAATAACCTCTATGGGCCCATTCACCCCCTTACATGTGTGCGTTACCAAGTGTGCAGGAGGAGCAGTGTAAATCCAGAGTTACAATTTATAATACTGAGTATTGTTTGTGATATTTCACAATGGAGGGATAATTAGTAGTTTCAGATGGAACACTGTGTTTTTTTAATATTATTGTTTAGACAACCTAACAGGTCATCACACAACTACTATTGGAAGGTGATAGGGAGAATAGGGAATACTCTTTCCTTTAGATTGTAAGATCCCAGGAGCAGAGCCCTCCTAACCCTCCTGCATTGCATCGTATCTGTACTGTACTGTGTCCCTTTGCTTTGTAAAGTGCAGCACAAACTGCTGATGCCATATAAATCCTGTATAATAATGATAATTAGAACTACCAAAATAATACATCCACACCGTGTACTCAGATATACTGTTTATAATCAGACACAGAGCCATATGCCCCCCCATGCTTACAACAGATCTGGCTTTTGTCATGAGTTGTAGAGCCTTTCGCTGAATCAGAGACGTCCATTTACTTCCTATTTCCATAGAGTCTGCTGTGATCCAGTATCCGGGTTTTGCCTGGCTGCAGGCTCCAGCTCCGTTTACTCCAGTGCGGGTGAGGCTGAGTGCAGAGCCTGAGTCACTTCGGATGTGCACAGCTCAGCCTGCGTTGCACCTGCTCACCTGGACACAGGTAAGAGACCCGCATCCCCTGTTATAGCGCATGCATAGACTGTAGTTAATGAAGCTAAACTTATTCCTTTCTAAGGGCTGTTTCAGCCAACTATGCTGATCATCAAACTGATTTACTTTTAAGTGTGATCTGTCTTGCTTTGTCACTTACAGCCAGTGCTGACTCCAAGAGGTACTGACTCATGTACACTCCTCCTGTTCCAGCTATTTCTTTGCTGTGATATTACAGAGATGAGATGTTTGGGATGTTGTACTGGCAACTGCACTTAGCAGGATGACTCAAACTATATAAGAAATGTAAAGTGCATTTCCATTGAACCCTTTTAGGGAAGGGTGCAGTAGGGGATTATCATAGGAGCGGAATGGGCAGCTGAACAGGGTCCCTAGACTGGGGGGGAGGGCAAGGGGTGTTAGTTTAAAAAAAAAAGAAACGTTTTGCAGTTTGTTGCTTTTTGTTGTAAGTCACATGAGCTTTGCATGTCTTTAGACTTTTTTGTAGACGTTTATCAGCAGTGGCAGCCCTTGTATTAGTCTCAATAAGGGCCCATTTACATTTGTCTCTTGCACGCTATGCCACATTTGATTAAGAGGCAGCCCACTGCAATCAATGGGCTTCCAACGCACCGAATATTGGACATGTCACACAGTTTTTTGCTGCTACTAAGTGCTATGGTGCTTTGCAAAATGTTGCAACCCATATGTGTTAACTTAGTGCATTGGGTGGATTTTTAACAAATGATAGCACTGCAGTGCATAAGTGCATGCAATATTGTGCTCCTGTGGGTTGCAAGAACACGTAGATGAACTTAATGTTCAAGCTGATGTCAGCTGAGTGATCCTTCCGCTAGGGACAACGCAAAAGTGCTAGGATCACTAATAAGCCGCTCACCTTTTTGTCACTCCCTCACTGGCCCTACCAGAGAGATGTCTCTACCTCATCAGCAAGGAAGCGATGCCATTAGGGTAAGTGGTCCTCCCACCTGCATGATTTTGCTGCTGGCAATTTGTGATGTCTGAGGGCTTGATGCAAACCCAGCTCATCTGCTTTTCACCCAAGCCCGCACAAAACTGTGACTGACACCCCTCCATTTGACCCAATCAGTTGCGGCAGGGGCATTCACTGCCCTTTGTGACGTGTATCTGCAGAGTCACTGGAGGAACTACCAGGGTCGCAATTGCGACCGGGCCCTGGCGTTCCGCCACTTGGGGGGGGCAGCGAGGAAGAAGAGGCCCCCCCCAAGATCGTGCCGCACCTTCCTTGCCGCACAGCCACCCGCAGCATATACAGTATTGGCGGCTGTGTGGCTGGGATGGAGAGGCTGTCACTGGTCCCGCAAAATGTGCTGCAGGCACCGCCGGGCAGCACATTCTGCTGTGTGAGGACCCGACCCTCTTAGCCCGGCCCTCTGCCCGTGGAGACGAGGAAGAGGGCCCTGCTGGAGAAGGAAGGTAAGTATTTCCTGCCATGGACGGCATATTATTGACGGTCACATTTAACAATTACAAGCAAATACTTTGTAAATAAATGCCGGTTTCCTCGGTAAACCCGTCTGTACGTAAGCGCAGATACTGGGTCAGCGTTCTTGACAGAACACCGGCACTAAAATTTTAAACAAGCGGCTGCATAAGGTCCCGCTCTTGCTGGGGACCTTGGCAGCCTTCCTGTTAACCATGCGGTGCCATGGCGGTTGGGGGGCCTTGATGGTTTCTTGCATCGGGGCCCTGAAGGTTCTAGTTATGCCTCTGGTAGGAGTCACAGTTTTATGCAGGTTTGGGCAAACTCAGGGGAACTAGGTTTACACCAGCAGAATCACTTTGACATCACTGTTTAGCTTATCAAGCAACTATACACAATATGTACTTGATGGCATTGTTTACATATTATGCATTAGTTTACAAAAAGTATACCACTGCATAAAACAAAAATTTGAATGTAAACACTTTTTTCTATTCCTTAACAAATATGATAAACATTTTGCCAGAAGGAAAACACAAATATCTGCGTTTACTGACACTTATGCTTGATCCAATTAAACTGGAGGGGGCTCCTGAATTGAAAACAGCCCGGGGCCCATGGTACAATGAATACACCCCTGGAAAGGTGTCTGTTTTTTCCCTTTTGGCAGTGAAGAGGTTTCTAAAATGAACGGCGTGGACTCCGGAAAGGAAAAGTTTTGATTGTGTTTGTGAATGCACCTGTCACACGTGTTGTGCAGTGCCTTGTGGTTGTATGACGTGTACAGGCAATGACAGCCTCACCTGCACTGAGTCGAAATAGGACCAGAGTCGTTTGGCTTTCTGTCCATTGCTTTGTTACATCACTTATTACATGGACAGTTAGCGGAACCAATGATATCTGATTTTACCTTTGGAAAGTATCGAATCTGTTTATGTGATCTTAGCATCATGCAGGCAATGTCTTTCTTTACTATTATAATAAACTGTAGGTGCATGGAAATGCTGATTCACCTTACAGAGGCTGAAGTAGGTCAGGAAGAATTGAGCTGGTCTCACTGAAGTCTGCACATTGTCCCCCTTCCTACCACAGTGTCTCTATAAATCTCACATGTGACATTTCAGAATGTCTCCAGCTCCATTCTTTATTCTTTTCCTGTGAGATGGTGCATTTCCTCCAGCCTTGTTAATCTATACATGAACGGATGGACCCCTCTGTAGAGGGCTATAAATTAGTATGGAATCCACTGAGCTGTAATGCCGGGATTGTTCTTGGAGCTGATTTTACCTACTTAAAAGACAGCTCCAGTATAAAAAAAACTCTTATGAAGATATCTAGCAGAGGTGCTTTGGTTTCTAAATAGAAGTCCTATGAATTGTTTTTTTTCTCTATGTTTAAGGCTGGAAGAAATAATAGTATGCACATTAACAGACTTTCTAAAACCACATCTGGGCTGATTTGTTGTCTGACGTCACCTACTTTAAAGAAACACTGTCATCTTACCCAAGATCTGAGAAGCTCTGTGTAAAGGGGCCACAAGTCCGACCCTTCCCTGTCAGTCTTTCCTGCTATAGCTTCCTCTGTTACTGCTAGGACCAGAATACCCAGTGTCCGATACTAATGGGAGCACTGCACGTGACTCATATTCAGCAGAACCAGACCATCAACAAGGCATCCAAGACACTTCCCTATGGTACACCAGCACTTTTGATGGTTTGGGGTCAGCATAGATCCTGCAAATCAGTGGCAGCTAGATCGCCTGAGAGAGAGGAAGAGGCTTCACTTTCTGGTGGACGCTCATGCTGATGACAGGTCTGTACAATAAGGGTGGAAAGCTAGAAAAGGTGGCATATCCACTGCCCAAAGACTCCTAAAAGTGACTCCCCTTAACCTGCTCAGAGATTCCAGAGAGCCTACTAGCCCCCACAACCTCAGTCAATGCAACC